GGAATCCGCAACGAACAACGGACCCAACCCAGGAGCGGTGGTGAAACCAGCAACCCCAGAAGCACCCATAGCCTCATCATCCGCGAAACCCACTAACACGGTCCCTCCTAAAGCATCTAGGTTCGCATTTCCGCTAGAGGACAAGGAAGCAGACAAACGCGTAGTAAACCGAATGTTGGACGCCAGTATTAGTCTACCCGTCCGGGAGCTTATTGCCGTATCACCGGATGTTCGCAAAGTCTTTCGGGAACTGACTACCACCAAACGGGTTACAGACGCTCTGATATCCGTCAATGAGCTATCCGCCGCTCCGGACGCAGGGCATTGGCTACAGAAGTACGACGACTGTCTTACACGGGCGGATGACGGACGTATTGTCGCAGATCATTTCGAAAGCTTACGATGTATCAAAGCTACTTTGGTAAGCGGCAAGATAATCACCTGTGTCCTTGATCAAGGCGCAGAGTGTATCGTCATGCCAAGGGAAGTATGGAAAGGATTAGGGGTCCCATTACGCTCGGACCATAAGCTGACAATGGAATCCGTTAACACCTCCAGGGACTCAACACTCGGAGTAATCGAAAACCTGTCACTGGATTTCGGAATCGGACAAATGTGGTTCCAGATTCAAGTTGCGCAAGCAGCTAGCTTTGAATTACTACTCGGACGCCCGTTTTTCACGCTAACTAGTTGCCGCACGGAAGACCTTCCCAACGGAGACCAAGACATCACGCTTACAGATCCCAACTCCGGCAAGGAAATCCGGATACCGACGGAACCTTGGGTCAAGAAGTGTATCGGCTGCAGACATAATATCGAATGCAAGGAACACCCGAAGCGGAAGGGTTTTTAGTGGTCGATGATTCGCAATGCACGCGAGGAGATTACAATGGACAACGGATGATTTCTCCTTCTCAGTTCCCAATGTACCTACGTTCCCAGATAACCCGTCTCGCGCTATCCGCGCACAAACCGCTCTTACGGAGCAACAAACGCTCGTTACCATATTCCGAAGCGCAATTCTCCGCGCAATATACTTATCTAGTTTCTACCCGTTCTCCTAATAACCCGGACAATACTAACGCATTCAACTCAGTTTACAGCTACGACTCATCTCGGCACGCACTAGCCTATAAACCGGTCGCAAAGAAAGTACGGACCGTCCAAACTTCTATGCCCGCGGAGTATCGCGTTGTCCGCCGCCTACCAGATGACCCGTTGGCCGGTATGCCAGAACTGCCTACTCACCCTCCCGAATTTGTTCCAGGTATCCGCTTCACTCAGGAACGCGCCCACAAACTTGACCTCGATCCGGCAAACTGGCTATGGCCGGAAGAGCTGAAACTCGTCCGTTGGCTCGTACGGACCCATGAACTCGCATTTGCTTGGGATGCGTCAGAAAGAGGCCGGCTCAATGAGACGTGTTTTCCGCCTTACAAAATCCCAACCATTCCACATGTTCCGTGGTCACAGCGCAATATACCTATTCCGCCGGCAACCGTCAACGAAGTCATACGGATTATCAAGGAGAAGATCGATTCCGGTGTATATGAACCGTCTACCGCAGCCTACCGTTCCAGGTGGTTCTGTGTGGTCAAGAAAGACGGGAAGTCACTACGTTTAGTGCACGACTTGCAGCCGCTCAACGCAGTGACCATCCGTGACGCATCACTCCCCCCGTTCGTGGAACACTTGGCAGAATCCTTTGCCGGGTATGCAGTCTACGGAATGATGGATTTATATTCAGGGTATGACCAGCGCGCACTTCACGAAGAATCCCGCGATCTCACCACCTTCGGCACACCACTCGGACCACACCGGCTCACAACGCTTCCTCAAGGGCATGCTAATGCGGTTCAAGTATACCAAGGAGATACGGCATTTATCTTACAGCATGAGATTCCTGATTTCACTTCCCCGTTCATCGACGATGTACCCGTTAAATCCGTTCGGACAAGGTACCAAAATCCTGACGGCACATACGAAACCATTCCGGGCAATCCTGACATCCGCCGCTTCATTTGGGAACACTGCATAGTTCTCAATCGGATATTGCAACGATTAGAGAATGTTGGAGCAACCGTGTCCGCCACTAAATTTGTTTTAGCTGCCCCAACCGCAATCATTGTCGGACACAAATGTACCTTTGAAGGCCGTGTCCCGGAAGATTCCAAGATCCAGAAGATCCGTGACTGGCCGGAACCATGTAATGTTACGCAAGTCAGAGGATTCCTTGGCACGTGCGGTGTACTACGCATTTTCATCCGGAACTTCTCCAAGATCGCACGGCCGCTCATCAACCTGACAAAGAAAGACGCGCCATTCGAGTTTGGACCGGAACAGCAAGAAGCCATGCAGACCCTGAAGGACTTGGTATTGGAGTCGCCCGCACTACGTCAGATCAACTACGAATGCGGACGGGAAGTCATCCTCGCAGTGGATACATCATCGGTAGCGGTCGGGTTCATACTGCTTCAAATTGGCGAAGACGGCAAACGGTATCCGAACCGGTTTGGATCCATATCGCTCACGGAAGTCGAAAGCCGCTATTCTCAAGCGAAACTGGAGCTATACGGATTATTCCGCGCACTCCGTGCCGTTCGTGTATTTATCTTTGGCGTCACCAACCTAACGGTAGAGGTCGACGCAAAGTACATCAAGGGTATGATCAACAATCCGGACCTCCAGCCGAATGCAACAATCAACCGATGGATTGCAGGTATATTGTTGTTCTCTTTCAAACTCGTGCATGTATCCGCTGTGAAGCATACCGGTGTCGACGGACTCTCAAGGAGACCAGCTGCAATAGATGATCCGGAAGAGGATGACGACCATGAAGACTGGCTAGACCGGTCTTATTCCTTTTGCACGGAAATCCTGAACGATCGAGCTCACCGCATCTCCAGCGTTGCGAGTCTCATCGAACGCATACCGTATGAGCAGCCCATTCCGCTAACAGAAGCCCGTGCCCCAACACTTCTAGCATTCTTAGATTCTGCGGAAAACCTCACGGACGAGATTGAAATACCTCGTTCTGAATCCGCAAAAGCAATGGACGCCCGAATCACGGAAATCAAACGCTTCCTAGAAACACGGGAAAGACCTACACCGCTCACGGACCGCGATTTCGAAGCATTTGTTACATCCGCAGCGAGATACTTTATCATGGACGGACAACTGTGGAGACGGCATTCACACGGCAAACATCAGCTCGTGGTTCCAATAGGAAAACGGTTACGGATCCTCAAAGAAGCCCATGATGACCTCGGGCATAAAGGTATACTGACAATCCGAACCCGTCTCCTCTTACGATTTTGGTGGCCAATGATTGTTGACGATATCAAATGGTACAACAGGACATGTCATGAATGTCAGATCCGGCAGACCCGCAAGCTGCACATCCCCCCGTCCGTTCCCATTCCGTACGGAATATTCCGGAAAGCACACCTTGACACGATGATGATGCCCAAAGCGGGCGGATTCAATCGATTAGTTCAAGCACGCTGTGCCTTAACAGGATACCCCGAATGGCGGATGATACGCAGCGAAACCACAAAAATCTTAGCTGATTTTATATTCGAAGATATCCTATGCAGATGGGGTCCCATCACGGAAATCGTCACGGACAACGGAACCGCCTTTCGTGCAGCCGTCGACCTTCTCGCAGAAAAGTACGGTATCCACCCAATCCGGATCTCACCATACAATTCGCAAGCAAATGGTATAGTCGAGAGACGGCATCTCGATGTCCGGGAGGCCATCATGAAATGCTGCGAGGGGGACGCATCCCGATGGTACCAAGTCACGCATACGGTATTCTGGGCGGAACGGGTAACTATCCAACAATCAACCGGACTATCTCCGTACTTTATGGTCCACGGAGTCGAACCTATCTTTCCGTTTGATTTAGCTGAAGCAACGTTCCTGGTTGCGCTCCCGGACCAGGAACAATTCTCTACCGCAGATCTTATTGCATGGCGCGCCCGACAACTTCAGAAACGGCAAGAAGACCTGGACGCAATCAAAGATAAGGTAGTCCAAGCGAGATACCAATCAGTCCGCAGATTTGAAGAACGGTACCGGAACTCAATCAAGGATTACGACTTTCCGTCCGGAACCTTGGTATTGGTGCGGAACACAAGGATAGAGAAGGAGCTAAGTCGAAAGACGAAGCCACGATATCTCGGTCCTATGGTGGTACTCCGGCGGACCAAGGGCGGTTCATACCTTCTTGCAGAAATTGACGGATCCGTGTCCAAGTTACGCTATGCGGCGTTCCGATTGATACCTTATTTTTCACGTAGCAGGACAAAGATATCAGTCACAAGCATTACCGGTATGGCGGATGAAGCATTGGACGACCTAGCAGCAGAAGAAGGTTGCGAGCCAGACGAAGAAGAATCCGATCTCGACACCGATGATTAACCACTCCCGCATTCCATCGAACTCACATATATGCACAGATAAAACATCCCGTATCATACTCAGTATCCGTTTTACCCCGGGTTTCGTCCGGTGATCTCAAACCACTCCCATTAATTACCATACACGCTCACACAGCACTACAGATCATATCATTTCCATTCCGTAATATCGAACTCACAGACCCATGGACTCATTTTATTCAGTGCGTAGAAACGGACTAAAATACCTATATTTCACTTCAAACCGCGTGACATACGCACCACGCTCATTGTTACCGGACTCACATAATAGGGATACGGAAGGAATAGACGAAGGAAGCGCAACGAAGAAAACAAGACGGATGGTAGTCCGCAAAACGGATCCGTATACTCTTTTTTCACCTTCCTTGCGTTACAAGATGCGCGCTCATTATTTTACCTTACTCAATTCTTAGGCATCCAATGGGGACACGGACACGGACATGGATTGGGACACGGACTTGGAACGGGACAAGGCAACACACGCGATCGGTCACGGAATCTATTTCTATGCACTTCAAAACGCTGGGATATAAGTACAGTAAAGGTCCGGGGTAACTAATCCTGCTTGCGGGTTAAACGGTACTCTAAGAGATCTAAGCCGTTGGCCACCTCCATTAAGAGGGCATTGGCCTGGAAAACCTTGGCGCGGAGGTGGCGGATCTCACCGCGGATAACAATCTCTTCATCCTCCAACCCAGAATGAGCCAGACTGGGAACCGCACCTAGCTCTTCCTCCTCCTCCCCGTCTGCATCTTCTTCGGCCTCTGGTTCCGGATCGATGGAAGGGGCGGTAGTGGCGTCATCCGCAGAGTTGCGAGCGCGCCCGGACGAACGAGCGCGGGAGCCGGAAGGAATGGGAGGGGGTGTATCAATACGGCGCTTCTTGCTCTTGCCTTTACCCTTGGAGTGGGTACAGCCGACCTTCAACTTCTTGCAGCTGTCGCAAGAAACGCCCGGAAAGCCGTAACAATCGCGTTTGATGAGCGTGCACTTGCCGCAACGAACGGCGTGCCGGGGAGACGGTTTGCCGATCGCAGGGTTGTATGGGGTCATGCGACCAACGGGAGGGCGCTGAAACAAGAAGTTTAGTTGAGCCGTCAAGAAAGATAAAGAACCGGCACGCACCTTTACCCTGATCTCCTTGTCCGTCACGTCCTCTACCTCGGACTCAACATCCTCAGCAGTCCTCTTGCCCTTCCCCTTCTCCAAACGTGGGGCGCGCACAGTTGCTTGCCCTTCCTCATCCACCGGCTTACCCTCGACCACGGGTGTCTTCAGAGCCTCGGCCGCACTCTTGCGTGCACGATCCTCTTCAGCGCTCTTGCGCGCACGATCCTCGTCCGCCGCCTTGACTTCAGCGACGAAGCGGGCACAGGTGGTGTTGCCGGTCTCGCCCTTGGCAACCTCTTCAGGCGTGAAGGTGTACGGGATGCCCTTAGCTTGCAGGGCACCCGTGCACTCGGACAGATCCTTCTATACGCGCGTCAGCAACAGCGGAAAACAAGAAACGGACGCGGTACTCACCACAAATGTCTGCCAGCGCACGATCCAATCCTTCCGCTCTTCCTCCAATCCCTCAGACTCGTCCGGGATGGAAGCCGTTTCACCATCCAAACGCACCCTAATGGCTGTGAACTCGCGCTGCAGTTTCTCGATGACGGGATCGACGGCGACGGCAAAAGAGAAGCTGGTAGACATGGTGACTGGTGAAAGGATGGTGGTTAACGATGAGGAAGGAAGAAGAGGAAGGAGCGGGATCTTATAGGGTGGAACGGAGAGAGCCACATCCACAAAATTCTCCATTGTTCAAAACAAACTCCGCACTTACTCGATCCGAACATCCGACCCCACAGTCACATGACTCCCAGGCCTCCCAGAAAATTCGCCAAGTCCAAATCCGTGTATGTGGACTGACCGGGGACGGTCAGTATTTGAGTCCCCCGCAGATGTACCAAACATTCCGGCGCTAGCCTCACAATCACCTCTTATGTTCAATCCGGAGCCCACCTGGTCAGGTATTAGCATCCCCACCCATCCAGCCTCTTCCGTTGGCATCCGTCCTTCCGGACACCTATCGGATACGATACCGACAACGGACTCCCTTGGTTCCTGCCTATCCATGTCCATCCATCCCCATTGGTGCGTCATTTGTCTTCTTTTATCACCCTAATCAACCAGCAGTCCGTATTACCTGTACTTCCCATACATGAGGCCGCTTACCGTCCTTTACATATTACCGCGCTACGGACTCGCCGATGCTACCGCCGCTTAGCGGATTCCGAGTTCTTACGGATTCTGATAAATAGTTGCGTCGTATTCTACCAATATCACTTCCCTTTTGCTCCCTTGGATTTGTATCTAAGTCTAAGTAATCAAGAAAGTCCCCTTAGTCTTCCGCGTCGCAACGGACATCTTCCCGCACCTCGGACCACTTCCGGTAGCTCGTTACCTCGAGACCTTGAAACCTTGACACCTCGAGACCTTGACACCTTGACACCTTGATCATCGTACCGCTAGATATCCGTCCTACACGAACCATCCTCCGTCCGGACACTCCCTTCCTTAGACCGGACTTCACCCGTGTGTCCGCCGCACAGATCTTAAGCCCGCCGGATTGATTCCTTCGCATTTATTGCGAAGACTTCCTTCAGTAGCAATCCCCTTGGGACGAGCTATTATACTCGCACTCATACGGATCGGTAGTCTACTCTAACAGGCTACACGGAATCACTTTCGCTCAGCGATCTACCTTACAGCATATTGCCGCTACTTGGACTGGTGCCACCACAAATACGACAAACGCAAGACAATGCACGTTGTCGTTCAACAACCCACAAGCTCCGAGTCTACCAGTACCGGACCAACCGATCCTTCGACCATTACGACAACTTCTTCCTCATCTGATCCCACAACTCGCCCCTCGTCCGCCACGACGCTGGCCTCTTCATCTACTGGGTTATTGCTCGACGTGCAGCCTGAGCGCTCAGCAAAGAAGTTGAAGGTTCAGCCGGAAGGTGAAGGGTCTACTAGGGGGAAACAGCAGAAGGAGGCAAAGGCGCAGGTGAATGGGAGTGGGAGTGGCAAGGGGAAGGGGAAGGGGAAGGGTCGTCAGTAGTGGGCTCTTGCCGTGCTGATCGTCAATGGTAAGTGTCCGTTGTTCGACTCAACTTCCTCTTAACACTGACGATTTACAATCGGTAGTACTTCAAATCTTCGCTTGTTCCGAGTCTATCGCACCAGCACTCCGAGTCTTTGAATTTGCTGGTCTACTACTACTAGTTTGTTGCATTTCTTTTGTACTTTCAGAGCCTACTACTACTATGGATGTTTCTCACTGTACTGTGCGCTAGTTAGCCTATGTAGGTACTATGAGATTCGCGTACAATTTGTCACATCACGTTTAACTACTCACTCTCGGCGTGACCCGGGAAAATTGAACTACTAACAGCATAACTTCAATGGCCTCCGGTGCCCAACCTGCAACAGACACGTCTCTTACAGGGATTTCACCTGATCAAAAATGCTCGCATGAGCCCCAGACCCATCTAATAACACAAGCAATTCACGCCGGAACGCGTGCGCCAGTACCACCAAAACCAATAGGACCTTTTTCTGCAGTCTCCAGCTCAAGCACAGAAGGACCAGTCGTAAACAACACATCATCCATTCATCGCACTCCATCCAAGTCGTCCATCTCTGAGGCCCAACATATGTCTACTGTACTAGTACCTACTGCTATGCAAGGTGTTTTGCATTCTAACTTGAAGCACATTGGAACGCCTAGGGCCATTGGCGCTCTACGAAACCGATCCCCTGCATTATTGCGCCACTTGACCACGCCGAATGTTGCGCGTTCTACTCTCGGGTTGAACGCGAACAAAGTTCCATCACCTGTATTCTCGGTAAAAACAGAGTCAGACTCAAACTGCGAAGACAGCGACAATGTAAGTTCAACAGCATCCATACACGCTATCTAGTACTAAATGTCAATATTGCCCAGGAATCTACTCACACCATCGACACCCAGGCCCGGTCTAGCGAGGAACACAAGGCCCAGCTCGGTTTGAACGCGACCCGTGCACAGCGAGATGTTTGCTTTGCGGAGAAGACACTCGCAGATTGCGTTGTCCAGCAGAATAGAGCACTTGGGCTCCTCTACCAGTTCGAGGCTACAGAAGCTGGGAGGAAGTTGGAGGACGCTCATATCGACATCGGTTATGTACGTCATTCGGTCCGCAAAATCGGCATCACATTGCTCGAAGACTCTACTAGTAGTAAGCCTAGAAAACGACGTCGCAAATCTACTAGTCAGGTTGATGGTGATACGCTCAGCCCGGAAGTAGACTTGGCTCTGCCACTGCCCGGGCCACTGGCAGGTAATTGTATTCTGTTAAATTTGTTCGACCGCTCCTATTGACGTATTTTCTATGAAATAGATACAGGATCTGCGAGCGCGACCCAGAGCTGAGTCAAACACTCGAGATTCTTCTGAGGTAGCGCCCGATTCCTTGACCTGTTATTCAAACTATAGATACTCTTCTGGCACGACATATAGTATACTGGCAGTACTACTAGTAGTACTATACTGTTTGACTTGATATCCCGGATCTACTGTATTAGCAGTCGCAGTACATTCTTTCAATGAATCAATGTTTGTTTCAAGTCGTTCTTTTAAGTCGTTCAAACTCAAGTCAACTCGAAGAGCTGGTAATACTAGTACTACTCGGGTCGTTCGCTGTAGCGCGCTATGTGGTGCTATGTCGCGCTGCAGAAGTCTACTTTATGTACAGTTATGTCATTGTGCACTGCACGTGGTCGCTACACATCACTACAGGTGCCTGCAACTGCTGTAAGGTGCTGTAAGATGCTGTAAGCTGCCACGGTAGCTGTGCTAAATTTAGTTTTTTGCTGATGTATCCTACACCAGCAACGAACTTCCGACTCGGATGTGGATGCAAGATGCAGTGCGCATGGAGGCGTAGATAATCGAGTTGCGTTGCGGTACCTAGTACTAGTTCAAAGTAAGTTGGACAAGTCACAAGTGACGCGCGGCGCGTGATTGAACGTGACACATTTGTTTCAATATTTTTGTATCCAAACGACCACCATGATGACGACTTGTACGGTATACCTTGTTGATTCTCCACTATATCATGATGATGAAATTCAGGTCTCCGCCAGTTCACTGATGGTTGTGCCATTTGGAGACATTAATGTCGGAAATTCTTTTACGGCATTCTGATGGATTAAAATGGCCTAACGACACGGCCCAATTATAATAGATTATGATCAAACAGTCAACATATTAATAAGCATTATCATGGCATTTTAATGCAGATTTTAATGGTATCACAATGAAGTCACAATATCATCTCCACGCCATAACAATTGTATTTCGACGACATTCTGACCAGTCTCATAAGAAGGATGTGATGAGCATTCCAGATTTTATTATCATTTTAATGGCATCACAACTAAGTTATATTTTCATCTCAATGTCGTGACAATTGTATTCTAACGGCAGAAAGACTGTACATGGCGTAAGAAATACGAGGTAAGGAAAGCGGACATCCCATTCAAGATGGCTTCGGCGTCCTTGGCCTACCCAGCTCCTCCCTCCTCTGTGCACGCTCCCGATCCTCCTCGCTCTCATCCTGTTCTTCACTCTCGTCCTCCTCCTCAACGCGTTCCAGCTCATGCGGTGTAATCGTATGAATGCTAGATGTATTGTCATCGTCGTGTCCACAGCGACCACGCTCTAAGTCTATGTGCGTGCCATTGTCGTGCTGGGAACGTGCAGATGAAGCGTGGATGAGGTCATGGAGAGCTGCGACCTCGGCCTTGATGGCCTCCTGCTCTGCGAGCATGTCCTCGAGGGCGCAGACCTTGTCGACGTGGCTTGCGAGGCTGGCTTGGGTCTCATGTAGCTCTGAGCGCAGCTCGGAAAGGCCAGGGTGCTCTGGGGGAGGTGCAGGGGGTTCTGGATTTGCGGGTGTGGCAGATGCGGGCGTGGGTGCAGAGGTGGTCGAGGCTTGTTGTGAACGCACGGGAGGGAGTAATTGGGGGAAGTGTGGTAGGTTTTGGGGCTGTGGGGAAGGGAGATAGTCAGTATGTAGGAATAAAGAGAATGGCGGGGACAGACCACCGAGCCACTGAGCGTGTCGTGAATGTCATTCATTGAAGAGCTCAGGGAGTGCAGTTCTGCGCCAGTGTCACGGCTCTTCTGGAGTTTGCCCTGAAGTCTGCTTAATATGTGGTCAAAGGAAAGGCCATTTTGCCCGGTGGTCGCATACTGTTGCCCATGCCACCAAGCTGGCTCTGGAGGGTAGGGCGGTGCTGTGGATGTGCAAAGCTAAAGTTATAATTACTTCCAGATGATGAACCGGAGGGAGGGAGGACGGAGGGGATGTTGGGGGGGAGAGAGGTGGATGTTGGGAGGAAGAGAGGCGGATGTTGGGATGGCCTTTACACGGGCAGCGAGATGTGCGTCTTCGTCTGTGAACACACACATGACACGGGCAGCGACTTTGTGGTGAATGGTGGTCTTGTTGTCTTCGAGCCACCGAGCTGGCTCTGGAGGGTAGGGCGGCGCTGTGGATGTGCAAAGCTAAAGTTATTATTACTTCCAGATGATGAACCGGAGGGAGGGAGGATGGAGGCCCAGGTGATGTTGGGAGGGAGAGAGGCGGATGTTGGGATGGCCTTTACGCGGGCAGCGAGATGTGCGTCTTCGTCCGTGAACACACACATGACGCGGGCAGCGACTTTGTGGTGGATGGTGGTCTTGTTGTCTTCACCGACAATGTCGATACCGAATTCCTGCAGGGGGGTGGATGGGTCAGACGGAGGGAAATGGGGCAGACATTGAACAATATTGGAGTTTGGACCAGGGTAGAGATGGGTTACAGTCTAAAGAGAGGTATCTTAATGACACATGAGTCATCCCGTCGCCATGTAAATCTGCATGATCATGTGATTGATTTGTCATCCTGATGTACATTAATGATAAGTAAAATGTCAATAGGAGATTGAGATTAATAGGAGACTCGGAAAACGAGTGTGTAAGTAGGATTGAAAATTATAATGATGCGGCCATGACGAACGCCTTCAAAATCACACGAACCCAAATGCCTCCAAGGTCCTCGAACGCCTTCAAAATCACACGAACCCAAATGCCTCTTGGAAGGTCTTCGAGCGGCTTCAAAATCACACTTACCCGAATTTTTTTGCCTCCAAGGTCCTTGAACGGCTTCAAAATCACACGAACCTAAATGCCAGATCTGCGTGATAACGATATTGATTGAACTTGAGCGCTGACTGGTATGTATGGTAATAGGTAGGAGTCTGAAAGCTCAAGACTATTTAGTAGAGACGGTCTGACGAGAGGAACGGCGAACATCTTGCCCATTTATATCAGCCTTCTGACCTTTTCCCCGACGTCCCTTGGTTGACTTCGTAACGACAGTCACTGAGTCTTCAATAGCTGGCTTCGGATGGGGTGCTGCTATCACTGTAGCAGCTAAGGCAGACTCCGGACTTGTAGCGCTTGACCCAGGATTGAGTACCGCACCCTGAGTTGAGATTGATGGCACGACATCAGAAGGCAGGGGGGGTTCATGTTGCAGGGGAGAAGCTACTAGTACCGCAACAGTATTTGAGGATGAGGATGCGGTCAAAGAACTTGGTTCAACGATGGTAGGATGGTGCGCACGAAGGCTGTCAGGGCCAATGGGGTCCTCATCCGAACTGCTATCGGAATCGTCCAATGCTGCCATGACACGATCAACCATGTCTTCAGGCTGGCCTGCGGTATAGTCCTCCTCCGTCTGAGCAACATTATCGAAGACATAACCGTTAATTTGTCCCACAATGGCTTTGATGCGTTCATGGGTCCACTTGACGATGAAGAATCTTTTCACGGCGCGGAAGACGGTGTGGTAAGGGATCGAAGAAATGGCTCCAATACCATCCCCGGAGAATTCTTGATCTGGGGATAGCATGAAGATTATCTACCGAACACGATATCAGTCATACTATTAGGTAGCGCCTCTGACATCAATACATACCGAAGTCACACCAAATGCAATCATACCGGGAGTGCAGCTTTCGAGTTTCCAAATCTTCGCATAGGTAGGCGGGCCACCACGCCCCTTGGGGAACAATGACATCTTGCCGCACACTGAAACCTTGATGACCTTTCAAAGAAAGATATGAGTAATTGTCCTATGGTTAAGTCAGTGTACTTTACCTTCGCGATCGTCAACCAGTTTCTGAAAATCTTTTTCTCGTTAACAATGTTATCAGGGTAAAGTACCGGTGCTTTGAAAACGTCGAAGGTCTTCCCCTTCCCCGCCTCCCATCCAATCATATCCATAATTTGCTGGACGGAGGCGCGGTCATATCTGGCAACAAAATACTCGGGTGACATGTTGAAGATGGTACCTGAAACAGTGCGTAGACCATTGAAGAATGATGATCGTGCCTGTTGCATGCCGGTTGCAAACTGTTCCGCAAATTGTCAACTCGTTTACAACTATGTAAAATTTTAAGTTACGTACCAAGTTAAAGAATGCATTTGTTTGCATCTCAGGATGCAACTCGTGATCGATTGAGGCGTAGAGCTCAGTGACGAGGGAAGCCTTCTCTGTCGATTTCTTTGCGTAACGTTGCGGACTTGTTATATCGACCAGAGGTTCGGGGCAGTCTGTCTGAAAAATAACCTTTTCAGGCAGAAACATCTCCGTCGTCAAAGCGTATTTCTTGGCTAAACTTAAGATTAGCTTGTCGATGATGGTCTCCGACGTCATTATGGACGCTGTAGTCGATGGCGCAGATGAACGCGAGGATGCGGTAGTTGAAGGTGGCGCAGATGAACGTAAGGACACAGTAGATGAGGCCGGCAATGCAGCAGCGGATGTTGTCTGATTTGGCGAGCGCCTGCGATGTTTCAATTGTTGTGCCGCTAGTGTACCATTGGTTGCGTTCAGCGCTGCATTGCGCTCTTCCAACTTTCCTTTTTCAAGTTGTAATTGCTTAATGTACTAGATAAAATAAGTCAGTGAACGAATGAGAGTTGATGAAAGAAACGAGAGCTTACTGCTTGAAGGTGCTTTGTAGACGAGTCGGCACTTGGTGGTGCCACAGGCCGTGGGGCGTCATCATCCGAATCAGGCCCTGAATCTGACGATAACAATGGATTAGAGTCGGAATCATCGAGCTGTGAATCAGAGTCCAACATGAGCAATATGTGAGGAGCGAAATGTGTGATGAGTGAGCGGCCCAGATGCTGAATGAACGAATGAATTGCGAGGTCTTTATCTACATTTGCGGGCAACCCTAAACAGTTTAGAATCAATCTGTGGTATTACTAGTGAGATTAAATGATAACATACATAATACGATTTGACGCGGTACACAAGTCGTTATTAGTGAAATGGATCATGGAAGCTGTGAGCTTGAGAAAAATGCTGCATGAAAGATGCATGTCCAAACACGAGGCGACACTGTATTATGACACACTTGTGTCAGTAATGTCAATGATGCAGCTTGATGACCTACTTAATGCGTGTTATACCTAATGATAGAGTGAGTATTGCAAGCCGAAAATCATATAAAAAAATAAGTTCTTTAATACTCAGGCCGCGGCCAAAGTGTCAGGCAAGTTACGCGACTTGCAGAGACTTGACCCGAAGAAACATGTCTGCGTCAACCGTGTCGATGACGAAGTAATCGCCTTGTCTCCCAGGATCGCTGGCAAGCGCAGCCCCTCGGATAATTGACCTTACGGAGATGAATTCGGGAGATGACCGAAGTTTGGCTCGTACACACCATAGTCCCAGATCAGTATCATGTTTGCTGCGGACACCAATTCCGACATCGTACGGATGTATGAGCGCCAGTGAAAGATTGGTTTCACCAATTGAGCAACCGAACATGAAGATAAGGCGAGCAAAAAATGGTTGATTGTCGGTTTGAACCATTACACAATCATATCGCGGGGATCCAAAGAACTCGGGGTTGCATCGAAGGAGGTCTTTGCACTGGCGCCAGTCGACCATAGACTCGTAGTTGACTTGCAGATATTTGTATCCAGTAATCTAAATATTATGTTGCGCAGCACAATTTTAGCGAGTAGTTAGCAGGGTGAATTGTTGGCGTACCTTGTTGTCAGCCTGCAAATGAATGCGCTTTCCATTTGGTAAAGGAATGTCGTTACTGGGGAAGAATGTGTTCAGGAAGGCATTGAGTTTGATTCAAAAACCAACGAAGGCCCCGTCATCTGCATGCGACTGCTCGAGACTTGCAAATGAGATGTCACCCTGCGCCGAGCCTAACTTTACGTGGGTGTAGGGAGCTGGAGCCACAGAAATCGCAGGATTTTCTGTGTCTGCGTCTTCTGTTGTTGGGAGGTCGGCTTTCCGATTGTACTCGTCCAACTCGTCGAGTTCAGAACGCATTGATGTTAAGGTTAGCAGCCAATGGTCGTAGCGAAGTATCTGAAGTCATTAAGGGCAGTTCTTATTAGTTTATGTTAATATACAGTCCTGTTGACACACGAACCTGTGTAGCAACGTTCTTGAAATTTGTTCGATTGTGGTAGATGTCCCTCACGGGGCCGTGCATCTTCTCGTTCGGTTTTGTGTTGTAGTTTCGTGTCGCGCCTTTCGCCAAGATATCGTCGAATAGATGCGAACTTGCGTGTTTCTTGGGGAAATTCCAATCCTTGCCTGTTACAGGCTGTGATTTGAGAATATACTCCTAATCGCACATCATAAGTGAGTGGTCGGGAAGTATTGCGAAGCAAAACTTACCTCCATCAACGCTGAAAATTCCCGCAGAGCTCGTCTTCCTGCAACAATTGAATCTTCAGTGTGGACCTCAAATCCAGCGTAAATGTCGAGATCGATATAGTGGTGTATGCATCGCAAGAGTAGATAGCCGAGCTTACTCTGTGAACGGCGGAGGATCCTTTGCGCCGCAAAGATAGCCATCTGAGGGTCATTAGCACAGAATTCAGCTTCAGTCACGGCTTACCTTCGATATGTCCTCGTGATGTGAGCTATCATTGAAATCAACTCCAACTACCTCTGAGAAGTGCGTCAGGTTAGACCACCGCGGAAAAGCATCATAGCTGAGGTAGTACCATTAAGTTTGAGGCAGTGCATGTTGGATAATAATATATACGTACCACGCGTCCATCTGCACAACAGCTTCTCGCCCTAATTCAAGTACCCAGAACTGAAGCTCCCTCCACAGATGGTGCCTCCAAAGCCCTCCATGATACACATGCATGCGATCAAAGGAGAGTGCTCGGTGAATGTCGGTGAGCATCATTCTCCAGAAGGCATTCTGAGGATCGTGTCTGTCAGTGTGGTGTGCGCAAAAGACCTTGGAAATCATACTTCAACGTCACGCAGCGAGTAAGTTTTGAGTAATTTCTCCCTCTCCTTCTTGGATTTCTTCGCGCGGGCCAACTGAAGGGTCTCCTCAGACTCAGCGCTTGTCCGTAATCGAAGTTCGTGAGACAAGACTGATTGCTCGTCTCGAGGGACCAAGCAGATCGGACACGGAAATTTACCTTTCAGTCCGCGAATCAATGCCATGATACATCTATCACATGGCGTCAGCAATATCACAGCGAACTTGAGCACTCACTGTTCTTCATAGTCGGCGCTCAGAATCAAAATCAAGGGCCAAAGCAGGCGCCGGATGGCATCACCGCACTCGAACCAGTATCCCGTCCTCGAGATCTGTATGACGGACTCAAGAAGTTTTAAAAAGGACTCGTGCCAAACGGCAGTCTTGAAGTCCACAAAGCTGCTTTTGCCTGCATGCTCCGGATCCTCTGACACCTGCTCTGACATTAGCATGTGTATGAAATAAAACTAAATACTTAGACTAACAATAGGCAGCCAACCTACAATTCGGCCACCACCAATACCAGCGCCATTCCGGATTTCGACAGGCAGGTTTGCAATCCGACAAACAATCGGATAGGCTTTCTGGGTACCGAAAGAGGACAATTTTGCCTTGTCTGCGTACAAGATAAAAGCCAGAGGCTTTGCCTCAGGCGGAAGTCGTGACTACACAATGCGCAGTTGCATGTCATTGGGCATACAAAGTGATCAAGACTTACCTGTGCATCCCAGAATGCATTGGCTGTCCAAGGTTCGTCAATAAAGCGTACAAAACGCGTACCATTGAATTTGTATAGGCGTTGCGCATCAAATACGAAGTGCGGCGCAAGACGTCGATCTCGCAACATATCAAGAGCCCATTCCCACAGAGGACGGTAGTGCATATCAAACTCGTGCACCTTTTTTTGATACAGAACCGACACTACATCAACTTGAAACTTGATAAATTACTCATATTTTAGTTAAGCACGTCTAATTAAATTGAACTTGTATTTGCCTACCGGTGTGAAGCGTTGGGAAGCAGTTGACCACAACTCCCGGACTTCATCATGGTTTCGTAGTGTAAAGGTTTCGTCCCTATGTGCGGAACGATGAACGAGACTAAGCAGACGATTGGTTTGCTCTGCGGTGAGTGCAGCTTCGAGGGCAAGTTCTGCGACCTCAAAATCGAGCCGTGTGCGGAACGGTTCCCATGGTGCGTGATTCCGAGGTACTGAAGCTTCCGTGGGACGTGTGCGAGAGAAATCAGCGAAATGATGAATGGTGGACGGAATCTGGCTGTGAGGATGATAATCAACCTTGATATCATCCAGCTGCGGTAATGGTTCCCGCTCTTCAGGATTTGCGTCGTCGTAGTGGCTCTGAAGGCCAGGCGATGCCATACTGAAGTCCGATATCAACGATTGACGACTTCGAGGCGTTGATCCTTGCATGTCTGACACATAAAATGATTGATCAGTTTTTGGGAATCCACTAAACTATGCAAACATACCATTATTATCTTCTGCAGCTTCGTCCTCGTGGTCGTGACGCTGCACCGACCAAATTTTGATTGGATCAACTGACAATAGTATTATTTGAGTTATCAATGTCAAAGAAAATTAGTCGAGTGCTAACTCACCTGTAGATGACGCCGCACGTCTTTTGGATTGATTGTGAGCCTTGTGTTCTGTGCAGTTGTGAGGTGAGATATGGGACAAAACAAAAATGGTGTGCATACGTACGTTTCTTCACCGCTTCTTCGATGATCGCTTTGACCTCATCATCTTCTTCTTTCTCCCGGGCTTGCTTCCTACATTTCTTTGCATGCGGCACAAATCCACGAGCTCGTACTAGTATCCCACATATGTTACACATCACATCGTCTGATGTCCGTTGAGGAGGCATCGAAATGGAAATTGATGGCACGAAAGGCGAGATGAGGACTTGCGGGGAATTTGTGAGTCTATCTAGTATGAGTTAGAAATACTGCGTACCTTTGATGCAGATGGTACTTAGTGTATAATTGAAACTCAGGTCAGGCTGCGACTCGTGATAGTCTCAACGACATGTAATCAATATGTAAACAAATCGTAATCGAATCATGATCGAATTGTAATCAAATCATGATCGCATCGTAATCGAATCATGATGGTGATAAATATAGCATTACGATACGGGAGCATTATAATGCCTGCTGGAAATTTCCGACAAATGCTATGGCAAGAACTCCCAATTCATACCCCTCATCCATCTCACCTCGTCAATTTTCGCCCATCTGTGCGCCGCTATCCATGTCCCAAAGACGCAGCGAGCTATCCGGGAACCTGTAATGATGCACTGTCCGCCAGGTAGGTGCACGACACCTCGAACATAGCCACTATGGTCTTTCATTGTCTGGCGAGGCGTTTTCGCTAATGTCTTTTCTATCCTAGCAGCGGCTGAAGACAGACCGGTGCCCGGCCAACTAAGGAAGATCGTGGACTAGCCTTGTGTATGAGAGTATCTTTCCGGTATACCTATTTTCAAAAATGGAGCAGGTGATCTCGCAGGGGAAAATTGCCTGTGTTTCACCTTCTTTCTCATCAGCTCTTTTCAATCACAGTGCAAGAAGGAAGCGTTTCTTACGAAAAAGCTTGATTTGAGGCATTCGCTCGTGACGCAGTGTGGTGACAGGATGGACGTGTGGCAAGTATTTTTTGAGAACTTGCGGGGATCCTCCACAAGGATCCCAATCGCTGGTAAATTATATCATGACATCAGATGGCTTATCATGGCAGGTTCGGGGTGTTACTGACTAGCACAGCAAGTGCCTTCCGAGCAACTCGACGCGACGCGCTCCACTCACGACGCTATGAGTTGATATAGTGCACGTTGAGTGCCGAAAATTGGCCAGCCATTCGTTTAAACCATCTCCCATGGTGCGTATTCCGAATTTCCATGCGTTGTCATCGTGCTCGCTGTGCAGATGAAGCACCGAGGTCCCGGGATAAATGTGTTTGCGAGAACACAATACGTAATCCGGCTTATAATCTATCTCATAGACCTTACTTGTCACTTCGCCGCATGGCAAAAGAGTAAAACCCAAGGTTGTCAGGCCCAAATCAACAACAGGCTCGAAGCCATTCTCAAGCGTCCTCAAACCACTGTGACCCGTGCAATATTCATGTCATCTACAGCCATGCCATGCTTTTGATTTGCTGCGCTTCCGTTAACCATACTGACGACCAATACTGATGAGAAGGTAGCTGTCCGTCGTCCAGACAACATGCGGGCATTGTTCGTCTATGTCCCAACGGTTTTGGTTGCTATTCATTCTGTTTCCTCATTTCCTGTTTAGCTTCTGAATTGTGTTCCACAAGCTTTACTATAAAACTCGGTAGACGGGCACATAGACTCGACCATGACTTCAGCGCTGCGACCAGTGGAATAGAGCCCAGGTCTCAGACTCACGCGTGTTCAGAAATGTGTTCTACGTTTAAACAAACTGTCCCTTCTGTAAAATATCGAGCAGGTAATGCGGAAAATCGAACTATCATTCATTATTCATCATACCTTTTCCAGGTCCCGTCTCTGACTCAGGAATCATTGGAGTCACTGCAACAAATTAAAATCTACATCATACCACCAAATCCCCGTTCGTGACCGCCATCTAAGGTACCTCACCACCCTTCGATATCAAACGCAACGCGGTGGCGGGAGAACTTGAAGCCGCGGAAGAGATATGTGGCTGTTAAAGACAGGGTGCGTCACAGTCGTTAATATTAAGAAGTTTCTTAAAATCATTTCAAAGGCGAAGCCTCAACGCTTCATTTGCACTCGGAGGCGGATGAAGTTCTACAATACTGGTTCTCTGGAGGGCCTACGTTCCCCGACACTCTCTATCCGTCGTCAGGACTTTCCTGGACCATCTGCCACGAAAGCGCTATGTTTCCACCTTTGATGTGCATTCAACTGCGATTAACATGTGGACTAGGTTTGATGGTATTCTCGATATTGCTTACAAAATGCATTTCCTCCACTATTTACTGTGGGTTATGTCGAGGTTCATACGGAGATTATTTATCCGCTGACCCTGTGGCTCCGCCTATACTCTCTCCCTGAACCTCCGTCAGCTACAACCATTTTAACAGAACTGTGGAGTACTTCCTAAAACACATTTTCATTTTCTAGGACATAAAAGAAAGCTCCTTCCTACTGCCAGTGTCAGAGCTATAATTCAAGATCCCCCTTGACGCACCCCATATTGATTACCTAGCACAAGCCATGCGTTTCTCGTTCTTCTTCGCTGTTGTTGCTGCTTTGACAACATCTATGTCTGTCAGTGCTGATTATACATGCTTGGATTATGAGTCGGTTTGCGGCAACGATCCTTACATGACATGCTGCAAAGGCCTTTCCTGTAGCACGGGGGTGAGTCTGAGTCGTTCGCTTAGATTTAACCCCATAACTCACCGTTTGCGCGTCGTACCAACAGCCTGGCGGCTCCGGCACGTATTGCCATTAATCCTCTCCCGATGAGCTTTGCAGACTGAGCATGTCGCGCCAGTGAGTCGTGTTTCTGCTTTCACGTTGGTATAGTGGTTTATCGCACGCTATACAGTTTATTGCGGAGTTGACCAATATGCTTACTTCTGCACAAATTTCTCTGCTGCCTCGACCAGACTCTTAAATAACACCAGATTTCCTCCCATGTGAATTCTGTACTAAGCATCGATAAAAGATATTTGTGTTACTTTAATGCTTACTCGACTTGCGTACATTTTACATGAATGCACAAGAAAACAGCCGACATCAAAGAACGTGATGAGTACATTGCTCCTCCAGAACCACTTGATGAACCACGAATATATAGATCTGGAATGTCTTTAAACATGGTATTGCAATTGATTTGGATAAATGACATATCTACGATCTACAACTTCATTAATTGAGGATGGAAAGTGGTTGGTTCCGCGGAAACAATTCGCACTCCCATCTGCAAACTCCACCGACTCATTGTTGGTGTGCGCTTGGCAGTCAGGCTTGACTCGGATAATCTCCGTGTCTGCACACTTTCTCAGCACTCCACTCCTCGCAATTTGAACCCCAAATTGCCAGCACGGCAACCCTTACCATCCATTTCTTGCCCTTGTTCGAAGATAAGTGCAACAAACTCGGGCTCGCGATCGGCTCCTGTGTGGCAGTGTTAAAAATCCTAATCGAGTGATTCGAGTTCGGGTCCAATAGTACTAGATCTGTGGAGCAGCTCGGTTGTCTTTGCACCCATGATCTTGATTGTATTCTCGAGGGGTCCGCCCATCGCAATATTTGTTTGTCAGGCGGGTAGGCCACAGTCCTGCCTCTGACTCTTGCCGTCCCGTCCCGCCGTGGATCCGCTCACGACTGGCCATCTACTTGGCAACGACTTTCCTTGTCTCGACTTCCCACAAGTTACAACGTCACCATTCTATGGTTGCGTGCTATCCACAACTGCCGCTGCCGTTCTCGCGCCTGGGACTGACATGCCCTCTCATCATACTGTCCCGGGGGTTCTCAATAATTCCAGTCGGTGGATTCGCGTCAAGTCATGCTGTTCGTTTACTCACTGATGACAAGCCTTGCGTCTGTTCGCCACCCGGGCAGCAGACGGAATAGTATTGCATATCCATATTCTACTAACGGTTTTGGTTGGTATCACCATTTCTTGTTCGGCATCTGAACCGTTCCCCCAGCTTTACCACGACGCTTGATGGTTACATGAACTCGAACTAATGACAGCAGTGCTGTGAATAATGGCATTGTGTGCGGTAGCAAGCTAATATGTGTTCATCAGTGCGTCCTATGTTGAGCAAAACAGTCACTTCTGTAAAATATTGAGCAGGTAAAAGCAGGTAAAGCGGCAAATCCAATTGTTTCTCATCAACGCAGGACTCGTCGACTTTGGAGTAACTGCAACAAATCACATTATGTTTCGTGGCGCCAGACCCCATTTGGTGATGCTTCCTACAAGCTCCTACAATATCTCACCGCCCTGAGTATCAAGCGCAACGGTGGTGGGAGAATTTGACGCCGTGGAAGAGATATGAGGGGGTACGTCTGGATACCTATTCGCCACGGTCATTAATATTGATAGGTTCTTCGATGATGATTTAACGATGGGGCCTTGGCGCTTCGTTTGTACTCGGAGGCAGATGGAGTACCATGGTATTGCAGTGACCTCACTCCGTTCGTCAGGACTTCCTTGGAGCATATGCCACGAAAGCGCTTGGCGTCAGACTCCACCTTTGCTTTATGCACGTACTACGACCGTGGTTCACATCTGTACTAGGTTTGACGCTATTCTCGGCATTGCCTACAAGGTGCATCTCCATCACTACTTGATAGAGGATATGTTTACAGTTCACATATTCTGGATCGTTTATCCGTCGACCCTGTGGTTTTGCTTATACTCTCTCCCTGAGATCTGTCAGGCGCAACCATTGTGACAGTGGCCATGGAGTAGTTCCCAAAAAAACATTTTCTAGCACATAAAAGCAAGCTGTCTTCCTACTGCCAGTATCAGAACTGTTATAGATCCCCCCCTGACGCACCCCATATTTCCCAGCACAAGCCATGCGTTTCTCGTTCTTCCTCGCTGTTGTTGCTGCTTTGACAACATCTATGTCTGTCAGTGCTGACAATACATGCTTGGATGCAGAGTCAATTTGTGGCAACGATCCCTACTTGACATGCTGCCCAGGCCTTTCTTGTAAAACGGGGGTGAGTCTGAGTCGGTTGCTAGGATTCAACCTCAGAACTCACCGTTTGCGCGTTGTACCAATAGGATTTCGGCTCAGTCACGTATTGCCATTAATCCTCTCCCGATGAGCTTTGCAAACTGCGCATGTCGCGACAGTGAGTCGTGTTTCTGCTTTCACGTTGGTCGAGTGGTTGATCGCACGCTATACAGTTCATTGAGGAGTTGATCAATATGCTTGCTTCTGTGCAGGTTTCCCTGCTTTGACCAGACCCTTGAACAACAAACATCAGATTTAGTAGAGAACCTTCCGCAAGAATTCTGTGGTATTGACAACGGTGTTCGAAAAAAAGAAAAAGTGTTGAGGTTAAGACGTCGGACAATTATATATCCCAAGCGTTATCTTCACAGCTTCAAAGTTTCACGGCAAGATGGAGCGCTTGTGTTGACATTGCATTTATGAGTGCTTATCTACAAAGCGCAGTACCATGCTGTCCTACATTATGTGCATCTCCAAATCCAGACTTCATTGTTACTTCTGCATTGCGTCACTAATTGCTCGTTTGGCTAGTTTCAGACGCGGTACCCTCCCCCTTCGTTATCAGTATTTTCCCGATCTCCTATTCGCCCATTTTTCAGTGATACACCCCAACCATTATCTTATGGCATGCCCCATGCTCGCTCCGACACGTTAAATATGCTGCTGTGCGGGTGAAGTGCCTTGGCCTCCTGGCGCAGTGGCGCCATGGCCCATGTATACCTTCCTAATTATCTAGGGTCTATCGACCCAGCTAAAAATCCCTCTTGTGATAGAGAAATCCACCGTGTCTTCAAGTCTGTAACCAAATACCGTACATCTAATTGTACATAGCTATATTACAAGCAAGGAAGTCCAGATCAAAATATGTATACAGTATACCAGTATCGCATCAACGAGCCTTTCGCCGACCAATCCACTACGTATGCAGAACCTTTGCCGGATGTGTCAAAATTCGGGCCATCTTGCGCCATAAAGGAAGATTGTCCAATCGCTGGGCTTTCATAACTACTTTGATGTGGTGGATGGAAAGATGTTCCCCGCTGTGCATAGTGATCAGTCATCAGTATGACCAGGAATACATCACAACTAGCTTACTTTGAGGCAGCCAGCGCTCGCGCAGACCGCACAATATTGTCAATCATCCTCCCTGAAAGCATCATCAGACACCGCGTCAGTGGCAGATATGAGGCTTACCATCCAATTGATGCCATGAAAGTTTCTCGATTTCGCGAAGGAGTAATGAGTGATCCATCTCCTTCTCGTCTACGAAAGAGGAGCCGATAAGTGTGCGATCACTGTTACGCATACTTGTAGCGGGATCATCTAGGCCGAAGTGGCCAAGCCACAGACGACGTCGGGCTGAAGCGTCCAGTTCAGGGAGATCGACGACTTCAGTGGAAAATATGTATAAGTAAAGATAGGTAGCATAAGAGGATTACACACCGGTAGGGAATCGCCCCAATAGTTCTTCGCCGCAGGTACTTGATATCCAGAAGGAGATACAATCATCCGACTCAAATTGATGGAGAGCAGCATGGACGCGATCCTGATGAGAAATTAAGTCACGAACACTCAGAGTGTGACAGTCAAGAACATACCCTTTGGATTGGACTTTTCGGGTCCAAGAAATGCTGTGTGACTTCAGAAACCATACAGTAGAAGGTGACGAATAGGGTACGTACATCGGCATCTTTTACCACAATCACTGCATTCCAAGTGACCGCAAACTAAATGATCACCAGGTCCCGTCAGAGAGAGATTGCAAGCTGCGAATTGTTGTACGAACCGACATGCGCCGAGCAATTTCTGACACCAGAGTCATCTTGTCGAATGAAAACTCGTGTGCGGAAATAGTAATAATGGGTCTCTTGAGGAGATTACAGACAGCATGAACGGCTGTCATTCTGCCAGTTCCTGGTGGTCCCTTGAGAAGTACTGTCTACGAAATGGTGAACGAGAGATAAGCGATAGTGGCTTTCAAACATACCTGTCCTTTGTTGAACTGGGCCGGTTTTAGGCCGCCTAAAGAACAACCAGTATTATCCACCAAGGCTCGAATGAGATCCTGCATGACAGATGAGCAATGAAACCCACGATACAAAAACGAGAGATATGATTGCCCGTACCTTGGTATTTTCGTCCATAATCAATTTACTCCACGCCTCTTGATCATACTTGACTGGCTTCAAATCCCAGATATTGAATATTCGCCATTGCTAGGTATCAGATATAAATGGCTTGAGCAACCAGCGAAATGCGTATTGCACTTGTGCTCACATTCACTTCAAGATCATAGCCACCAATCCAGTATGGAAGGCGCGCAACATACTCCTCCGAGTTGTCGGGAAGTGGCACACGTCTATTATATTACTTAGTGTCAACATGGAGAACAGAAAAACCACTCACAGATTTGGATTGTAGCCTTGTGAAGCACGGTGGAATCCAGTTGGGTCGATCATCACCCTCCTCATCCGTGGTTTTAAGTTGCTACTGAAAACCGACCGCACTGCTGTGTCGTCAAAATCTGAAAATATATTAAACCTGCTTGATGAGATGATTAAGTCGTGCGGCACTTACACTCTGCACAACAAACTTTGCTATAGGAGAGATAGAGTCTTCCACGCTCTGCATTGATGGTTGGACATCTTGGCAACAAACTGAAGAGCAAAGTTCTCACCAGTCACTTTAGCCAGGGCTTCGTCTGTCACGGGTTGAAGAAACAGGCTCGAAATGTCTCGAGTTCCCTAAGATTGGTGAGTGAATACATGGTACATTGATTCTGGAAGGATGTCACAATACCTGGTATACATCATAATCAACTAACAATGGACGCTTCTCAAAACGAACACCATCCCACTCGAGGTACTCCAGCTCGAAGGTCAGCTCCCTGAACAGATTCAGTCAGGATTTATCACAAAGATATGTTCCGAAGGGTCCCTACTACTCACTGCCTGTCATCACTGAAGCGAACACTCTTCAAGACCACCAAGGTCTTTGACGCAGCATGTCAGCGGTGATGATGAATGAGCAAAGGAAACGGTTCTCACAATAGGTCTCTCGACATCTAAGCCATTCTGTGAAATTCCACTGTTGTAGATGTACTGAGTTCCTTCCTCATAGTAATACTCGAGAAGTTCGAAGGAAATCTGGCCGTTAGACAGCGACTCTTCGATTTGTTTAACCCTATATAATCATAAATGACAAGGCACGAGCTTGCTGGACTGGGACACACGCACGTCTGCTTGCATTCCGCTTCTACGACCTCCAACAGTTTTCCTAAATGTATCACAAGATTAGCGACGTATTCGAAGACCACTTCGCCTGTCCATTATGATAAGATTTATTAGACACGATGAGAAATGTAAAACTAACATCCAGAAGACGAGTCGAACCCGAAAACCTCGGCCTTGGATGCTAGGTCTCCTGGAAGTTGCTCTGCATCCAAGAGGGTGTGTGCATCGTCCAATCTGGACCTAAGTACCTTCATCTTTTGGTACAGTCGATGAATAGGGTATTCGAGGGGTTTGTCGTAATTGCCGTCAACAAACACAGTTCTGCGAACGATGTATCAATACCCGCACAAACCAATTACATGACAACATACCGGAGGAAAGAGTCTAAGATTGAACTGAAGTCGCTGAAAACAAGTGAACCTTTCTCTATGAACCCGTTCAGTATGCAGACCATGCAATATGTTTGTGACATAGAAGACTTGCCTTCCTGGCTCTTGGAGCGGACGTTGAGATAGAAATAGTCATCGACACCTCGAATGTCTATGGGGGAAGAAGACAAGGACCTGTACATATCCGGCACCCACTGCTTGCCAAATTGGTCCCTTGTGCACCCGGAATCCATTGAGCAAGCGAGCACTCAACATAAGCGAAAAATTCACCATTTCTGCCACCGACGAACAAAATGGTTCCCGGCTTCCTCAAAATCCTTGTATGGAATTATTGGATGCTGGTGAACTTGATTTGGCGGATACATTCTTGGAAATGCGTCACCCCATGGACTCTGCAGATTTGGAATGAAGGGGGAATAAGGAGATGGTGATCGTGAAAGCGGCGGGTGGATTATGAACGGTATGTTTGATGTTTGTGGACCAAGTAGTCCAGGTGGCGCAGGATACGGGTCGAGCGGTATGTTTGATGGCGATCGTGGACCAAATAATCCAGGTGACGCAGTATACGGGTCGAGCTGTATGATTGATGGCAATCGTGGGCTAAATAGTCCAGGTGACGCAGTATACGGGTCGAGCGGTATGTTTCTTGGCGTTCGTGGGCCAAATAGTCCATCGTCTGATTCTGATGGAGACATTGCTTCAAGCCGCGATGGACGTGTTACAGGATCGGGCAACCGAAAATGCTGGCCGTCCACAGGTACCGTTTCTGGGGTTATCACACCACACCACCCATCAAGCATTAAGTTTGAGCTGGGTGGTGACACTTCAGGAGGTGGAATCCTACACATGCTTGGTGGATCAAACCAAGGTGGGAAGTACTCATGATCGAAGGAAAGCGAGCTCTATATGAAGGGGTCTGCAGCGCCTCTTAGACATGATAAGAATCCCCAGGCTGTGGCTTCCATAACGTACGTGCTGTGTGTCACAAGGCTTTCGCTATTCATTTATAGACCCGTGACGCCAAGGGGTTAAGTGTAAGCTGTGCCCACTACGCACGTTCTGAACTTGCACACAAAAGAGACGTGGTGCCACCAAGAAGACGACAAGTCTACGCAAAGTATACGCATCAATTTGCAAAATGAAGAAACAATAAGCTACTAACGAGTCACTAGCGGCGTTGAGTCTTTGGGTAATGATAAGATCTCTAAGTTCAGGGTGCGGTCTTACTGACAGAGAACGTTCTCTATAGAAGCAACGAGCGTCTTCCTTACATTGGGGCCTGGAGAATTGATATTTAATCTTAGATAGTATCACGCAGCCAATGGTATCTAGCCAAAGTAAAATCGTTGAGTGGGTTGTCAATTTGAACGGTAAATTGTGAACGAGACTCCAGTGAGAATGAACCTAGACAATGAATCAGCCCACAATACAGTCCCCACGCCGGAACTTAGAAACTACCCATTTTTGTGCTGAAAGAGCGACAGCCGATCAGAACAGGATTCTTGCGCTCATTACCAATTGTCACAGCATGGCCATATGGCAGTTTGTTCGCGTACCGCTCGAAATCCTAACGTCTGTGGGATTTGATAACTTGACAGCTGTGTTATATCAAGTAGCCAGGTGTCGGTGTTATTAGTCAAGTCCGTGTGACTGTCTACCAAGATGGGGAACGTTCACAGCTCTGAAGTTAAACAGGAAATAAGAATACACAAGTCGATTGCAACCAAAATGTTAGAACATGAATGAACATGGCCAGCATGCAGGCTGGATGATGAGCAGCTGAATTCTCATCATACTGGTCGTCAGTATAGTTAACGGGAAGGGCATCAAAGGGCGACGGCGAAGGTGTGGTGGCAGCGCCAGTTGTGGATATCGTGGACATTGCAGGGATAACAGTGACCTGGGGACGCGACGACGATGCTTGAGAGTGGCTTTGAGCTTGTCGCTGACTTTGAGCCTGAACACCTTGTGTTTCGCCCCTCGTGCTTTGAGCGGTGAGACAACATATAAGGACTATCAAGATGCAAAAGAGTGGTGAAAGGGGCGACCATACCTTGTCATCACAGACGGCCACGACTGCTACGATATGGGGTCGGTGTTGCATGAATAAACCCTTGTGTCTGGCATTGTTGGAGTTGTGTTGTGTCGTGTGTGTTGGGACCGAAATCGATAAAACAGCGATGAAAAGACCAGCGAGGAGCGCATGTGGACGTGAGGGGTCGAAAACGCGGCAGCAAAAAAGGAATGATGACAACGTGTTGTGGAACACACCCTGAGCCAGAAGTAATTGATAGAAAAGAGGATATACATGAGAGCATTCTTGCGTGTCGTCAAAAAATCTTGCTAGCAATTGGGCATCCTCAAGTGGGCTTCACGTCGCGTAGCATCCATCTGCAAGGTAAAAACGTGGGCAAACACGTCACGTACGTTCAACGAGTGCTCATGTGTAGATAGGAAGATAGCGTACTCTTTGCCTGAAGAGCCACGAGATGCAGTCAAGGCTGTCAAGTCACAATCTTGACGAAGTAAGTTATAGTCGGACCGAAAAGCTACATCGCCATGGAGAGTTGGTTCTGCCAGTACCATATTTGGCTCACTAAAGCATGCCTCCTGCTGTTGCCTTCAGATTGATTTGATCCCATATCACATCCTTACAAACAACACGCGTCTGCCTCGTCCTCGCCGTTGTTGCCGCATGGAAAGCGTAAATCTATAGTGAGTCGGATTTCTGCTTTTGCATCAGTGCCGTATAGTTGATAGCACGACGCGTGCTCGCTTCGGAACAAATTTCAAGCAATAGTATTGGGATAGAGGACATATCAAACATTTGAATACATAGAATATGATTGAAGTACTTACAACGCAGTTCTGTAGTCTCGTCAAGTTTGAACATAGAAGTCCTCAATCCTCAATGGGACCAAAAGTCGCCAGGCACTTTGGGAAAAACCTCGCGGCGGAAATGCGTCAACAGCGGATCCAGGGGGGTAGAAAAGGGCAAAATACTACACTGAGCATCGCAAAATTGTCTACAAATGTCCTCAGTGAGGGGAAAGTCAGTAGATCCATGCATAGGGTGCAAAAATCCGACGGGCAGAAAAGACTCAGAATTTCAACTCCGCTCGGGCACTTCTCGCTAGCGCTCCCTTTCTCCTGATAACCTTTTCGTCGTTCGGCGCTGGTCTAGTATCTTATCGAGACTGCACTTGGAGGACACAAACAACATCATAGAACAATGTATTATAAACTCGATTGATGAATCAGAAGTCTGAATCTCCTCTGGGAGTGAACAATGTCCAACAAGTCTTAGCGTGTCATACGTCTCCACTATCCAGCTATGAGCTGTGTTGCACAGACTAAAACGCGATCGCAAGTTGCTCCCTTCCCGAAGCATCTCACACAGCTAGACAGGGATGCGTGTCCTTGTGTCGTATTCGTCAGGGTCGGATCAGGGTAGAATATCCCTAGAACCCAATATAGGAAGGTGCTCATACTTAGGCGTCAGCTGCGGGTCCCCCTGAGCGCTTCCAATGTTTGCACAGGATTGTTAACACAGTGCACCGAGCGCATGGACTACGTATCTGAATGAACCTAGTGAACGACTTAAACGAACGATTGCCCAACTACCTGACTCAAAACACAAGGTCTGTTGACTCTCGGTTTTCAATATGTTCCTGTCAGCAGAGGCAGTCCTTCTAATCAGTGCTCATCGTCAGCGATGCCTCGGGCCTGCCAAGAGAAGCTGAAATGAGAAAACTATTTATACATAAGTAGAACCGCTCGACCACCTGCTTACCAACGACCTTGAGGCTTGATCCTCACAAAGATTCCCGCGAACTCTCGAAGAACGCCGCACGAAGCAACTTCCGCATATATAATCCCGGCGCTGTTTCATTGAATTCGCCTGAAGACTTCATCGTGAGTGATTTGTTTGGGACTTCTGTTGGCAAGAGTTGACATTGATGTAGATCGTCCCATTAACCCACCCGACGCTTTAATCCAGATAACATCCCGGCAACTCTCGCATACATCATGTCATCTTCCACCGCTGTTGAGATACAGCAGACGTCAGCAATATCTCCAATCCAGACGATGCGAGGGCATACTGACTGGGTACGAAATGCTGTGCACTTGCCTGACGGACGGCGCATAATCACATGCTCGAATGACCAGTCACTTCGACTATGGGACCTGGAGAGTGGCGTGCAGATAGGCGACGACTGGCGGGACGAGGAGAATGAGGCAGGTGTGGTCACTATAGCATTATCTCCAAAGGGGGACATTGTTGCCAGCGGAAGCGGTGATGGGATGGTGAGATTGTGGGACGTCGAGATGCGGAAGGTCATCGCCAAATGGACGGGGCACACTGAAAATGTCAATGTGTGGTCAGTGTCCTGGAGTCCAGATGGTGGCCGACTCGTGAGTGGATCCTGGGATGGAACAGCAAGAGTGTGGAATATCAAGAGTGGACAGACTGTCCTTAGTTTGACTCAGACCGGGCACCAATATGTGTTGGCGGCAATCTTCTCGCCCGACGCGACAAAGATTGCCACAGGTGGATTCAATGAACATGCAGTAAAAATCTGGGATGCCAAGACAGGCAAGCTGCTCTCCACAGTCCAATTTGATCACCCAGTCTGGAGCTTGGCATGGACGTTGGATGGAAAGAAGCTGGTGTTCGGTTCATCTGGCCCGATTGGGATTTTAGACGCCACTGGCAGCACTTTGCGGCAGATCGCCACTCTTGAAGGTCATCAAGACACTATTCGCGCCGTCACTTTATTCAGCAACGACCGCCTCCTTGCAAGTGCATCATGGGACAGAACAGCACGTCTTTGGAACCTCGACACGGGCCTCCAAATCAGCGCCATCGACCACGAACGCGACGTGAACTCTGCGACCTTTTTAGCTGATAAAAAACAGCTAGTTACATGTTGCGACGATAGAAACATATACGTTTGGGACATTCACGCCGTCCTCAAAGAAGTTGGTGCATGTATCATCTTCACGATGAGTTCTGATAAGCTGATCTCTCACTAGCAGGGCGCAGCTGGTAACCTGTCTTTGAACGTACGTGGCATGCCTGTTCAACCTGAATGCTTAACAGATCAACATTCCAGGCTGATGCTACGCGACGTTTAACCCGCATCAAGGGTGCAAGTCGAATACCACAAGGGTTTTTTGACGACGCGCGAGATCGTGTTCATGTGCGTTGACATCATTTCAATCAACTAATTCTTGATCTCACCTCTATGCTCTCAGCCCTCCGCAACACATCATCCCCATCCCTTGTCAAATCGCACCCGCGACGTCACACCATCTTTGGGGTTGCGTGCGCGTACTTTCTTCGGTCAAATGTCCTCGTTATTTCATCGTGCTCACACTGACAGCCATGATGCCAAAGAATTTCAGCAGCACCCAAGGCAGGGTTCTTGGCACCAACCTCAGGCTCATGTCGTGGAAGTTGTAGTCATGAACGCGCAGTATAAAAGAGTATGCATATCCACATCCCTTTCCACGCTGCTCGTGTTTATATGTCTCGTAGCCTTTATACGTTGCCCCACCCCCGAACAAAAAGGGCACAACGCAGGGCGCTAAACCCCCAGAACAGAAACAAGCCCAAAGCCAATCTCAAGCCTTGTTGTCACGCCATCAAACTGCTCAGGCTGTTCCCGCTGCCACCACCACCCCTGCATCCGCAACCGACACGCCTTCTCATACTACTGCCACCATCGACAACCCCCGTTGGTGGACTCGCATCATGCTCTTCATTTGCTGCACAGCCGTGGACTATACAGACGCCAGTCACTGATGGGAAGGCAGCGGCTCGCCACTCAGGCACCATGCTGACATTCACATCCGAGTCTCCTAAACTCTATAATCCCCCAGTGTTGCTGATATGTTAATCGACTTCCGTTTCACGATTCTTGATTTGTTTCGACTTGAATAACAGTCATATGGACTGGGCCGTGATAGCAAGGTCACCTAATTGATACTAGGCGAAGTCCAATTCTACCTGTTCGTGCAGAGAGCTGCTGAACGATGCTACGATTAGACTCTTTTGCTGACTTTCAGCACGAGCACAAGAATGATTCAGTTCGTTCGCTGCGTCACGATGTGTCATGACCCTACATATATACGTTAATCACGCACACTCGTGGACAACCCGGATAGTCGTATTTGACTTTGACTCGGCGACATGCATTGTAACATTCTCCGAATCCGTGACGTCGTACCGAACTTTGGGAATTGCATTCTCGATGGGAGATCCCGTGGCACTTGCTGTAGCCTATTGTTCCTTTTTGATGCGATCTGTGAGGGCCAAGATAGATGGAACTGCTGTTGGTAAGTGTTTTCTTCCTTTGTCTACGATCCTTACGTACTGAACTCCCGGCGCAGCGCCCAGGAACGTTCACCGCCTGGTGTGTGTATTGTGCACAGCAGCCGAACCCAATCTTCAGCGAATCCAAGAGGCTGCAGGATTTCCTAGGATTTAATTCAGCGCTTCAGACTAATAAGTACGGTTGGTTTTTGATACGTTTTAGAACCCACCACAATCCCATCTGATGTCTGAATCGCTCTGGGCTAGTAAGCCATGGAGTTCAGACTCTTTGCTGCCTGGTGTGTACGATGTTACAGCAGTAATGCATTCACAGTTCAACCCAAAAGACTGTACTGCAGTGATCAGCATATCTACCCTCGAAACTAAGACCCTCAATGAAGACCCTGATGAAGGTCGTGTTGTTCTCCAAGGACAAGTTCGCAAAGCTAGCGACAAAGACCTCCAGCAGCATAAATGATCTCAGACCATAAACAGTAAGTGACTCTCTGATTTTCATCACAGCATCATTGATTGAAGGCATGCAGATGATGCACAACGTGATGGAGATCTCCCTCACGCCTGTCTAAAGGCCCTTGGAATCAGTACAACTGGCAACTACGAGCTTCCAAACTCGGTCCTTTGCAGTATGCCATGAGGCCAACACGTTCCAACTTCCCTGTGATGGAGATTTCCCTCGTGCCTGTCTAAAGGTCCTGCTGATTGGTACAGTTCTACTAATGACCTTGACAAGTGTCTTTCATTCTTTGTAAATCCATACGTGGACAGACATAGTTTTGTGATATTGCGCTATAGAGTTGCGGACAATTCGATTAATTATCATTAACTTGTGCTAGACTAAAGTTCCTAATACAATTGCCCCTAGCAGGATAGACAGACCATAGACAAATGACGTTGATCGTTCGTTCTCATGGTGTCGTAAAATATTTGTGCTCACTGTGCGTCAAAAGAAGAAGAAAAAGATGAATGATGTAGCCAGATGCTTGGGTCAATTAGAAGCATGATGTGCCCATTTTTTTCTTTTCCTGAGGATGAAATAATGAGGTATACTCAGCGGTAGAGAACGCCTGCCTCAAAACATCGAGACGAAATCGCAACGTTGGGCTGAAGAATACGAGTCGGAATTATAGGTGTACATATCGGGGATTCGGAAGGTACTTATGCAGTCCCAAAGTCTGAAATAACGAAGAAGAAGAAAAGTATCTTGTTGATAACAGGCTACGGGTAGTCACGACTGGATGTTACACACGATGTTATCGGATTGTCTCGAGAAAGCGGTAATTAACGAGGCGGGAGGACACACGAAATATTTATATACCAATATGCATGAAAACTATGCGCTGGTCCAAGGGCATCTCCTGGTCACCAGCCAACGACTGTACCGCTCGGTGAAGCGCTCGGGCAGCCCGCTTGGAATTCATTTTGCCATCCCCGCACAAGTTCTTGTAGAATGCCTCTACTAAGCGCTGCACAGTACTATCGTTGACGCTCCATAATGTCCCAACTACACTCTGCACACCAGCAAATTGAAGGCTAGCCGCCAAGTGTATGACTTCGTCAGGTGTATTGGCATCACCGACTGCGGTTTCACAGGCAGAAAGAAAGGTAAATTCATGCCGAGATAGATCCATTTGTGAGATATCGAGGAGTGAAATCGGTTGGTCGCGCATGAGAAAGGCCGAATTAAAGGGTTCTGTATAGTTCTGTGTCCCGTGACACGACAAATGGAGCCAAGTATTGTCTCGCAATGCACGGAGTACTCTCAATTTCGTTGCATCAACGCTCGTTATCTTGGTGAAGGAGACAGTTGAAGGAGCGGGCAAAAGACTCCGCACCAATTCCAGCTCAGGCTCCACACAATCCAAAGTGAATGGATGACCGGCTGGATGATCCTGACCGATTGCAGCAAAGGGCACTGGCAGGGATCTATCACGACTTCTGCGAGCCCTGATTAGCGTGGTAAGCGATGGCGTGTTGGAGCGGTGAGATCTGGCACAGGTCCTCCGTGGGAGTGCCGGGGGTCCTGGCGCAGTGGCTGGAGTCCTGGCTCGTAGGTAGTCGCTACTGCATGTTGTAGTCGGTCCTGGATAGATAGAGCCGTCGCCTCCTGCTACAGAGGTTTGGCCTTGGTTCCCTTGCAGTCCTGCCCGTTCCAGTGTATGAAGAGATTTAGAGCTTCGAAAGCAACTGTCCACCTCGCCTGTACGCGCCAGCAGCGTGCAACGGCAAGAAATTGAAGGCACCCGTCGGGCACCACCATATCCGGGAAAATGGTGGTGCAAACCCGCCTAAATTGTCGACCACCGGGCAGACGACGTCGTCCCATAACTCCGTCAAAGCTTTCATCAGGGCTGATGAGGCCTGTGGTTGACTTGCCCGTTGAAGTTTGACTACCAAATGTTGGAGTTTCTCCAAACTGATATGGAGTTTGATGCTGATCGGAGGTTGCTTGTGTGGGACAATAATGGCATCGCAAGACGACTTGCTTGCAACGAGCACAACAATAGGCCCATCGCGAGCTGCATCTTGAAGATCGGAGAACAAGGGGGGGAGTAGGAACCGAGAGAAGCCCTCGATCATCCGAATCTCTTCTACAGCTCTATTCCAGTCCTCCACTAGGCGTCGGTACCGGCTTGCTTCCGCTTCTACATTGACTCGTGGGGTTCCTTCTGGATCATTCGTAGGAGGTGTATCAAGGAGAGAGCTGAGGTATCTAAATTTCTTCATCAGGGCCACTGCATGATCACCGAGATCTTGGAGGCCGTCAAGAGGCGTGCGGAGTCGTGTCATCTGGGTCCAGATGAGAGTCCTGCCTTGTTCCAACAACTCGATAGCGCGACACACATCACCGCTACGAAGAGCACATGATGCAGCATCCGCGGCAAGCGTACGCGGAAAGTCCATCATGGTATTGTGACGAGACGATACTGAAGCTGTCGCGGACATGTAAGCGTCGAGAAGCTGCATGGAAGTTACATAAGCCTCCAGTTCAGTATCATGTGAATATTGATCGGCATCGCGAACCCAGCGTAGACTTGTTTGCAGGCGATGTCGCAAGCCTCCGGAGACAATATTTGCCGCTGCCTTGAGATGATGAATGGCAACATTCAGACTGTCGGTATCTTCGCCAGTGCTATCAAGTCCTGATTGATGAAACAACAAATAGACGGTAGCTAGTGTGCGATGGACGTTTGATTGACGAGGATCATGCTGCGTCAACAGAGTCAATGCACAGCGGAGATTCTCTAGTGACTCGCGGAGGTCTTCTCCATTGCTTCGGTGCTCGAAGCGGTCAGAGAGCACAATCGCAAGGTTATGTAATGACGAGGACCGATTTGGGTGATCGACTGGACATAAAGCCAGTGTGTCCCTATTCAGCATGATAGCGTCATCCAAGTCTTGCTCATTGCCTCAGTGGTTGAAGCGGGTGGAGAGCGCAGTCGTAAGGTTATTTAATGACGCGGACTGATTTGGGTGACCAACTGGACGTAAAGCCAGCGCATCCCTGTGAAGCATGATAGCGTCATCCAAGTCTTGGTCATTGCTTCGGTGCTCGAAGTGGGTAAAGAGCACATTCACAAGGTCATTCAATGACGAGGACCGATTTGGGTGACCGACTGGACGTAAAGCCAGCGCGTCCCTGCTCAACATGATAGCATCATCCAAGTCTTGCTCATTGCTTCGGTGCTTGAAGCGGGTGGAGAGCGCATTCGCAAGGTTATTTAATGGCGTGGACCGATCTGGGTGACCGACTGGATATAAAGCCAGCGCGTCCCTGCTCAACATGATAGTGTCATCCAAGTCTTGGTCATTGCCTCGGCACTCAAAGCGAGTGAAGAGCGCATCCGCAAGGTCATTCAATGATATGGACCGATCTGGGTGACCGACTGGACATAAAGCCAGTGCGTCCCTGTGAAGCATGATAGCGTCATCCAAGTCTTGCTCATTGCCTCGGTGCTCGAAGCGGATGGAGAGCGCAGTCGCAAGGTTAATTAATGACGAGGACCGATTTGGGTGACCGACTGGATGTAAAGCCAGCGCGTCCCTGTGAAGCATGAAACCGTCATCCAAGTCTTGCTCATTGCCTCGGTACATAAAGCGGGTAGAGAGCGCATTCGCAAGGTTATTCAATGACATGGACCGATCTGGGTGACCGACTGGATGTAAAGCAAGCACGTCCCTGTGAAGCATGATAGCGTCATCCAAGTCTTGGTCATTGCTTCAGTGCTTGAAGCGGGTAAGGAGCCCATTCGCAAGGTCATTCAATGACATGGATCGATTTGGGTGACCGACTAAACATAAAGCCAGTGCGTCCCTGTGAAGCATGATAGCGTCATCCAAGTCTTGGTCATTGCCTCGGTGCTTGAAGCGGGTAAAGAGCGCATTCGCAATGTTATTTAATGACATGGACCGATTTGGGTGACCGACTGGACGTAAAGCCAGCGCGTCCCTGTGAAGCATGATAGCGTCATCCAAGTCTTGCTCATTGCCTCGGCGCTCAAAGCGAGTGAGCACTATTTCACCCAGATTAGATATCAATGGTCCTCGGCAATCATGCATAGTGCCGTAGTATCGCAGTGCATCGTAATGGAGGGAGATCACTTCATCTAAATCATGGGGGTCATCTCCATGCAAACACCGCTCTGCACGGTCAGTGAATTGTTGTGGCGATAGCGGAAGCATGGATGTAGCGGGCTGCATCTGCCCAAGATCGTGTCCATCCATGCCTTTGGCTCGATGCAGAGCACATGTCTCGATTGCAAGCAAAGCTGCTCTGGAAATGTGGCTGTTGGCGTGGCAAACATTGAGAACTTTCCTCAGCAACTCTTTGGCTGCATCAGCATCCGTTTCAAATCCCCGTTTCGCGAAGCGCGATAGCAGAGCAATGGCAAGATGGAGCTGAGTGATCGGTCGGTCAGGATGACCAGTCGGACGCAAGTCAAAGGCGTATTGAAAAAGAGAGATGGGGATGTCGAGGTCGAGGTATGTTCCATTAACTTGGCAACTAACAAACTTTGCCACAGCTAGATTGAACAGTGCGGCAGGGCGGCAGGGATGATTCATGGGGCAGAGATCGGAGGCCCGTTCAAAGTGCGTTATGGATTGGTCTAGATCCCTAATTTTCTGCATCCATCGGTATTGTGCGAGAAGACAATGTCCGCCGTCCGTCCATAGCGCCAACTCACGCATATTGTCAGGTGTAAGCTACGCATCACAAGCACTCAGCACCAGAATGTCGGACTGCATTAATCACTCACGATAGTAAGGGGGAGAAGACCTGCAGCATTGTTTTCATAAGAACATCGCTGCTCCACTGTCATGAACAGCGAAGTGCACGAGGATACGACTTCCTCCTGCTTGGGCTGAAAAATTATAGCTGTGATACCCGTCAACAATTAGGCGTGATTTATAACAGACGTTACTGACGACGTGACTTTTCACTGCGATCCAGTAATTCTCCCACAGAGATATTGAATGTGCGAAGGACTTCTCCATGACCGAGCATGGGATCCAGTTCAAATGAGGCATACACGCTGACCCGAACTTTAGAAGATGGCTCGCATGGCCTAGAGTCTTTCTCAATGCCTGCAGGAAAGGCGGGATCAAGGACAACTTACAGAAGTATTCGATCGTTCCATTCGACGACAGTCTGGTCTATGTATACAGGTTTGTTGCTTGTCTGGCATTCGATATCATCATCAGCCTTTACTACCACATGGAAGCCGGCGGGGATCCGTTGGAGACCAAGAGTCAGATCAGTTGCATGAATGGCTTGGGGGAAGTCGTCAAGATGTGCGGAACTGAGTTTGATATCACATACCAGTAACTACGACTTGTTGCACTCCGCGGAGGTGCCTCTCTTCCGGGTCCTGGGAGTCTTCTGGGTGGCTTGCCTCCTCACCCAAGGCTGGGAGGGTATCATCGAGTGGGTCTGATACAGGGTTTGTCGTGAAACGACACAGCAGAGTAACCAGGAGATAAAGTGTCATCAGAATGGTTTTAGGAAAAGATTAGTACATGCTGAATGAAGATGGATAGTACATACTATTCACGGCGATCACAAGGTTTTTCTTGGGGTCATGGGTGCGGTCTGGATGGCTCGGCTCCTCTAAAAGTGGAGGGCCATTATTGAGAGGATGAGGGACAAAGCTTGACATATGGCTGACGGATGGATACAAACTAACACTTGAGAGTATGTCACGGTGTACTGGATACTGCAGTGCTTGCGAAGTCCTACAGATTATAAAGGAGGAAACCACAGCTTGCACGTGGCATCCACACACCACTGTGTGTGATGAACAGGGCTGAGCAGGCAATAGCGCTAGAATAATACATCAGATATGGATAATGGCTTATAAGCCCCAAAATGCGATAACATCATGTGGCTTCATCAGTAAATTGATGATTCCTTGATATTGTAGCCATGCGAACTGACCATTAGATTAAGTGACGCTAGTACTGGGAGTGAATGTGTCGAATTCACTCCCAGTGTCACCGTTTAATCTCTGGTTACTTGCTTTTCCTGGTTGCTTTCATCATTGAGGGACATTGAATTTCACCTGCGATTATTTGTCAGCTCTGAATATGTACAATGTCACTGTGACGACTGTGAGAAGCTTTTGGCTTTCAGAGGCGGCACAGTGGGAATTCAGACAATCAAGTAACCAGATACAAGATAGAATTCAAGATCGCCAAAACTATACTAGACAACGTAGGTAGGACTTTATAGTGTATAGTAGAGTAAGGCGCGTGATAAA